CCCCACACCCGCCACCCCCATACCCACCCCCCCACGGCTGCACCGGGTCCAGGAGCGGCTGCTGCAGTGGCGGCTGCTCCAGTGGCCAGGGGCGGCTGCTGCAGGGGTAGCGGCTCCAGGGGCGGCTGCTGCAGTGGCGGCTGCTCCAGGGGCGGCTGCTTCAGGGGCGGCGGCTCCAGGGGCGGCTGCTGCAGCGGCGGCTGCTCTAGGGGCGGCTGCTGCTGGGGCGGCTGCTCGAGGGGCTGCTGCTGCAGGGGTAGCGGCTCCAGGGGCGGCTGCTGCAGTGGCGGCTGCTCCAGGGGCGGCTGCTGCTGGGGCGGCTGCTCCAGGGGCTGCTGCTGCTGGGGTGGCTGCTCCAAGGGCGGCTGCTGTTGCAAGGCAGGCCGCTCCAGGGGCGGCTGCTTCAGGGGCGGCGGCTCCACGGGCGGCTTCTGCAGCGGCGGCTGCTCCAGGGGCGGCTGCTGCTGGGGCGGCTGCTCCAAGGGCTGCTGCTGCAGCGGCGGCTGCTGCTGGGGTGGCTGCTCTAGGGGCGGCTGCTGTTGCAAGGCAAGCCCGCGCGCTGCTGCAAAGCAGGCACGGGCGCAAGGGAGGCAGAGGCGGCGGCCACGGGGGGGTGCGCCGTGACGAGCAGGTGACAGGGCCACAACGGGCGGCAACGGAGCCGTTCGGGGCGGCAACGGGGCCGCGAAGAGCGGCGACGGGGCCGCTAGGGGCGGCAACGGGGCCGCGAAGAGCGGCGACGGGGCCGCTAGGGGCGGCAACGGGGCCGCTAAAGGCGGCGACGGGGCCGAGAAGGGGCGGCGACAGGGCCGCGAAGGGGTCGCGAGGGGCCGAGAAGGGCGGCGACGGGGCCGCTAGGGGCGGCGACGGGGCCGCTAGGAGTGGCGACAGGGCCGATAGGGGCAGCGACAAGGCCGCGAAGTGCGGCGACGGGGCCACTGAGGCTAGCGTGAGGGGCCGTGAGAGGAGCAGCGGCGGGACCGCGAAGAGGCCGTGAGGGGCCGAGAAGGGCGGCGACGGGGTAGGAAGACGTCGCGCGTCCGGGGCGCACGGCGAGCGGAAAACCGCCACGCGCCCCGAGCGCGTGGCGGGAAGAAATAGGTGTCGCGCTCCACGGGGCGCGCGACAGACAAGAAAGCAGTGGAAGCACGTGGGGCCCACAGGCCAAGAGCGTAGTCGCTCTGATTCCATGTTGAGATAAGCTAAGAGTAGGTGGGCTTAGGAGCCATAGCTTAGGAGCCTTGGTAGTTAAGTTCGAGGGTAAGGAAAAGTATCGAGAGAGTTGTGAAGGAGAATGATGGTTTCACTATAGGTTCAAGGGTACAAATATGAAAGAAGTGAAACAAGGTGCACCACCTAACAAGCAAGATAACTACACTAAGTCTACATTGCAGGCAGTTATAAAGTGATGTATACAATAACATTCTGACATGTCGCGCCGTGGTCGTCGTCTCCGTCGTTGCGGGCGACGTCATCACTGGCCGCGCTTGCGAGTTGCCCCGCACTTCCGTGCTGCGATGCCTGTGGTGGAGGTTGTCCCGGAAGGCGAGGTGCTTGTGATTGTGCTTGTTATGCTCGTGCGACGTCATTTTGCAGGGATGTGCGTTCCGTCGTCAGTGCCGCAATTTCTTCTGAATTCTCGTGCAGCTGGCGCAACAGTTCGTTAAGGCGGCCCTGCGTGAGCGTCGTGACGTTGATAGGCTCGATCATTATGAAGGTGTTAGAATGTTATCTTATGCTCTAGCCTGTAGTGGGGTGCTCTATAGCGAGTACAACCCTTCTAGGGTTTCCTATTTGTATTACCATTCTTGCTAGTGCAGTCCTCTTCTCTCTTCCAAATTTTCACAGAAGGGCGTCGGCTCAGCTTAGTCTAGGCGCAGTCGTGGCTACACGCGTTTACGAGAGAACGCGAGGACAGCGGCTCCTAGGTGCTAAGGGTCGTGAGTCCCTTCGAGTGAGAAATCAAAAGTTGACTTTTGGGGTGCGGAAATGCGCGGTCCGAAGAGAAAGTGGCTTTGACAACCAGGTGTTATGGGTGCAATGAATCGAGGTATCGAGGATTGCACTAAGGTATTCAATGAGTACAAAGTATGAGCGAAGGCATGAGCGAATACTTATACACATAAATTTGCAAACGGTAACGTGGTGCGTGCGAGCTAGCTAGTACTACGATGGCTCGAGGTTTCCGCTAGTCCGGAAGCGTAGGCTGACTCGGCTGCTCCAGCAGTGCGAGGTTTGTTGAAACAGTGCGCGGGATTGGCGAAGCCCCGTTAACAGTAACGCGCGAACAACGGCTGCTGCTGTATGTTGACGGTCGTGGTAAGGAATAGCGAGAGAATTCCTTACAATAAGAAATTCATTCAGGTAGACTTTAAGTTCAATCCTGTCACATTTGGGTTACAGATGCCGGACCTCTGGGTTCGCTCAGGTGCCCCCAAACCAATCGACAGATGCATACCACACCAAGCATGAGGGTCAGTGCTGCTGTCGCCCCACCTGATATCCTATCAGCCTCTTGAACCACACGTCGTAGTCAACTGCCAATTTTGGCGTTTTGCTACTCCCCGGATCTGCCCATGGGTGTTGGCCGCGTCGGTCCCAAGCTAGCGTACACTACAGTAATTTCAGCCCTCGAGTTGTATTTTCGAGCAGAAAGAATACCTGAGAGCAGTCCGAATTGAAGCGTCGAATGGATGTCGCTGGATGTCGGTAAATGTCAACCCTCGGATCCAGAGTTCCAACCGTTAAGATTTACCGACATCGGATGTCAACGGATATCACACTCACTTCGGACACGCCCTAAGTTAGATTTAGAATGCCCCTTCTGATAGGTTTTTTTTTTTTTTTTTTTTTTTTTTTTTTTTTTTTTTTTTTTTTTTTTTTTTTTTTTTTGGGAACTTGCGGAGGTGAGGAATTCAAGAATTCGCAACTTATGGACCCATCGTGTTGTTTGGCATCCTTCTCGACACCAATGTGTATACAGTAATACAGTAGTAACAATAATTACACGCACGTGTAGTAGTGATATCCATGTTGTAACAGCTGATGCTCACCCCATGCGCGCGAATTTGCCTTGCGCCGGATGGACACGCTGCACCCGAGGTTGTTTCCCCAGCTTCATGCACCCACATTACAAGCGCGTCAAGCAGAAGAGACCGAAGTCAAGCAGAAGAGACTGAAGTCAAACTAGGTAACTAGGTAGCAGGGTCTTGTTTATAAGCACATGCGAATTCTTTTTAGCTAGCTGCGAAATTGACGAACTTATGCGAAACGCACGATACAGCTTATATGCCCCCTTCACAAGGCAACCGGGAGGGGCTCAAACAGGCATCAGGAGTATGAAACACCAAGCACCAAAGCAGTTTTCACACAATCTAGACCTATGTTCCATTCTAAAGCACCGACACGAATTCCACTTTAAACACAGGCGTCCTTGTTTTTAAACAACACGAGAATCATTTCTGGGGTCAGGGAGAACTATGGGAATCAAAAAATTGTTGTGCTGCGAAGCTCATGAATGCCCCCCTGAGTTCCGCCCCACTCCGCCTCGCCTCACCTCGCCTCGTCGCCACACCTCCTCCTCATTTCGCTGCTCTCATCTCACCTTTCATGCCCTTGAGAGCCCCCATTCTCGATCTGCATCTCCGATTCGTACAGGACTCTAATTCACACTCAGTGGTGTCAAGGCAGTCAAGTCTCACACAAAAAACGTCAGTGTTTCACAAATAACGGGAGATGAACACCTTTTCAATCAAACATCCTGTGAAATCTTGGAGGATGATGGGAATACGGCCCCGGTTCAGCACCCCATGGTCATCAACGACTGACATTTGATTTGAACTTGGTAACCTCTAGGGACTATAGGCTGGGAGAACCAGTCAGGCTGTTCGTGTGGTAGCTTTTGGTTGTCCTGTCCTTTTCAACTCGACAGTTTCCAGCGGAAAGCTTCAAAAGATCTCACCTTTCATCGTCCTAGGAACTGCTTTTATTCTTCTCTCGCTCCACTAGCAACTAATTCGGCAAGCTCGAGCTCTCGCGCTTGTCAGCGTGATCAGGGTTTGCTGGAGACAGCGAGCCGTAGCTGCACTGATTCCTAGTTCCCGCGAGTCCCATTCTGTAGGATTCTCCCTTCATCAATTAATATTTATCGACTCTGAACTTTTCAATCAATCGACCAGCATAAGAGCAGTGAACTGGACTTAGCCAACTCTACCATTTCCGTCAAACGGTCACGATCGAGGAGAAATCTGTATCCCTCTGAACGATCTCGGTCACACCTTGGCGATCTTTTCTTTTCTCCTTTGTCTTCTACGACGAGAGTTGTCTCGCTGTTGTTACGATCAAAGTCGAGTCGCCTGTCAAATCGTCGATAAACGACAACGGCCGGCGATGGCGGAACCATAACCGCTGGTAACTGTGACCGCTGGGACTACTCCATTTCGCTACTATCGTCAGTGCTTCCTCTCGCTAGATTAGCACTGCCCACGACTACAACTCCCCGCAATTCCCGGTGTTAGAGTCGACCGTTTTTTGCGTTCCTTAAACGCCCTTTCACGCTCTTCCCAATCGCGTCGGGCCACGGCGAGTCGCGGCGGTTTTCCTGTTAGTCCCAACACTTCTATCCCATTCGCGATTCGTCGCTCTCAGACTCTCGCCGCGCCGGAACTCTTAGACTCGATATCTTCCAACAAATCCAGCTCCAGCGGACGCATCCAGCTCGGCGAATTGGCCCGTACACGCGCTTTTCCAGGCCTCGGAGGCTCGGCAAAGAAGCTCCCAGACACGGCGACCAGCCGATACTTACTAGGCTCGGCGAGTGGCTGTCAGGTTCGGCAGACGGCGGCGACATACTTACTTACCAACTTCTAGTAATACCACGTATTTACTAAATTACGATTAATATCAGTAGCATGACGATGCCGCAAACGTCCACCCCCGTGCAGCCCGTGATTGTAGTGGTGGGCCGCAAATACTGCAAGCCGTTCGACACTGTGCTTGTAATGAAGGATCGGCCGTTCTCGACGGACAAGGAGACGGAGATTCACGACGTCGTAGGCAATTTGCACTTCAAGCTCTCCGCCAAGTGAGTCGTTGTTGTAGGGATGCGGGAACCGCTCGGGTACGAAAAGTATGGACACGGGTACGGGTTAAATAATTGTACGGGTTACAAGTGCGCTACAGTGCGTGTACGTGCTACGTGTAAAGGTACAGCTACGAGTGCGGGTACTATGGTATGGAATAGTCGCGGTGAGAGCGCGCTTCGGGGGCAAGCGAGCTTGGCGGAGCGCTTAGAGTTGCGTGTGGCGCGGTATTGTGCTTGTAATAGCAGGCATCAGCGGCGGAAAGGCTCTGTTCGTTGCAACGCACTCGCACCGCGTGCCCTGAAGTATAAAGGAGGAGCAATGGTCCGCCGGGCGGACGGAAGCAACTGCTGTCTCTCAGGCTCAAGACCCTTGGTGGCAGCGTGCGTCACGGACGGGTGTGACTGTATCCATTGTGACTCTCCTGCTCAGCTCACACCCGGCCCCCTCCCCTCTCCTCTAGCTCCTCCTCCCTCCCCCCCCTCCTCCGTCAGGCCTCTCGCATTGCGGTCAAAGCGGTTCATTTTAGACGCGGATGGGCAACCAGCCAGTGACATGAAATTATCTGAGGCGCCTCAAAGCTCGCACCTAAACCACCCCCCACCCCCACTTCCCCCTTCTCCCACCCCCTGGCCTCTATCCATGCGGTCGAAACAATTCATTCTAGTCATGGCGGGTCAGTCGGTGGCATGAGACAATCTCTGAGGCGCCTCAGAAGTTCCTTTTAAAACATTCCCTCCCCCCTCCTTCTCCCACCACCAGGCCTCTATCCATGCGGTCGAAGCGGTTCATCCAAGACGTGGATGGGCAGCCGGTGTGCAACCTGGTGAGCAGGCCACGCTGCCGTGCTGCTGATGCTGCTGAAGCTGCACAACACGATACCACGTACCTGCAGCTTGCCCACCACCCGCTGCCCTGGTTTATTCCAGACGCAGGCGAGCAGTACGCTTCTCAGGCGCCTCAACCCCCTCTCCTCCCTCCTCTCCTCCTCCCCCTCCCCCCCCGTCCCCCTCTCCCTCCCAACCCCCCCGCCCCCTCACCACCAGGCCTCTATCCATGTGGACGAAGCAGTTCATTCTAGACGCGGACGAGCAGCCGCCTTCTGAGGCGCATAGCGTATAATCTGATTTCGATGCACCTAAAAAACCGTCCACCCCCTCCCCTCCTCTACCAGGACTCTCTCCATGCGGTCGAAGCGGTTCATCCTAGATGCGGATGAACAGCCAGCCAGTGACATGAGACAATCTCTGAGGCGCGTCAAAGCTCGCATTAACCCTCCCCCTCCCCCCCTTTCCTCCCCTCCTCCCCCCCCCCTTCCTTCTCCCACCACCAGGCCTCTATCCATGCGGTCGAAGCGGTTCATTCTAGACGCGGAGGGGCAGCCGGTGTGCAACCTGGTGAGCAAGCTGCTGACGCTGCACGACACCACGTACCTGTGCCCGGGGGACTCCGCCAGCGCCGACTCGCACCTGCTGCAGGCCAAGAGCGGCGTCATGTCACTGCGCCCCTGCATGAAGGTGGGAAACCCTGGGGTGATTGGGTTATGGGGCTTCTGAGGAAAATTTATTATTAGAAGCGATCTCGGGGCATGCATGCATGTGGCGTGGCCTTCGCGGTTGTGCATAGCTTTACGTGCTCTGTGTGTGAGCGCGCGTGCATGATTGTGAGCGCGCATGCATGCATGTGAGCGTGTGTGCATGCATGTGAGCGTGCGTGCATGCCGTATTTGTGCCTGTGGGTGTGGACTCAACTCAGGCATGAGCACGATGGAGGGCATGTGCGATGAGCACTGCATTACTCATGCACCATCCATGCGCCTCCCTCTTCCACTTCCTCTGCCTGTCAATCTGCCTCTCCCCTGCCTCTCCCCCTGCCTCTCCCCCTGCCTCTCCCCCTGCCTCCCCCTCTGCCTCTCCCTCTGCCTCTCCCCTGTCTCTTCCCTGCGCCTCCCTCTGCCTCTCCTCCCGCCTTACCCCCTGCCTCCTTTTCCCTGCGTGCCCCCAGGTGTTCCTAAGAGGCAACACATCACTTGAACCTGACATTGAGCTAACAGGCTTCTTTTCCAAGCACAACTACAGGGTACTTTCCTTCCCATGCTCCCTCCCCCCTCACCTATCGTCTCCCTTCAAATCCCAGTCCACAGCCTTGTTCTTTCTTCCGTTAAATTATTCTGCTTCATTTCTGTTTCTTTTGATTGCTGCCCTCTGGATCGTTGCTCCCCCCTCCCCGCCGCCTCGTTCCCCCTCTCCCCCCCCCCCTCCCGCGCCTCCGTTCCTTCCCGTTTCCTCTCCCCATCCAGTCCAAATTGTCACGCACGTTGCAGCATCCAAGTAGTCGAGGTGCCAAGGGATGCTTTTTTCTTTTCTTTTCACAGCCCAATCCTCCCCTCTTGACCCTTGCTTTTCCCCTGTTTCCCCCGCCCTCCCTCCCCCGTTCGTCTTCCTTTGCACCCCATATTGTCACGCGTGACGGCATCCTTCTAGCCGAGGTGCAGAAGGACGGGTTTGCGGCTCGCAGCAGCGTGCTGTGGGTATTCTCTACCAGCCCATCCCTTCTCTCTTTTACTTGCTCCCCTCCCCGCCCCAGATCGTCACGCGTGACGGCATCCTTCTAGCCGAGGTGCAGAAAGACGGGTTTGCGGCTCGCAACAGCGCGCTGCCGCCCTCGGAAGCATACTACTACGTGCGTGTGCTGACAGGTGTCGACACCGCATTGGTGCTCGCGCTTGCTGCGCTTGCTGACGACATGTTCCCGGAGAGAGACATTGACAGCCTGGCAGATGACTGACTGAGAGGGTGTGTGGGGGGGGAGGGGTGGAGGGGAGGAGGTGGGGTGGAGGGAATTAGAGACGTTTCAGAAAATGTGTTCGCTGCGCTTGCTGACGACATGTTCCCGGAGAGAGACATTGACAGCCTGGCAGATGACTGACTGAGAGGGTGTGTGGGGGGGGAGGGGTGGAGGGGAGGAGGTGGGGTGGAGGGAATTAGAGACGTTTCAGAAAATGTGTTCGCTGCGCTTGCTGTGTTCGCTGCGCTTGCTGACGGCATGTTCCCGGAGAGAGACATTGACAGCCTGGCAGATGACTGACTGAGAGGGTGTGTGGGGGGAGAGGGAAGGAGGAAAGGAGGGGAGGAGAGATTTTGAAACGTTCTACACTCTGCGCTCAAAGCGCTTTCGGTTGACATGTCAGCAGCGAGACATGGACAGCCTGGCTGAGCAGACGACTGTGTGTGTGTGTGCAAGGGGAGGAGGGGAGGAGGGGGAGGAGGGGTGGAGGAGAAGAGCGGGCGGCGGGGTGTGCTTTTGAGAAGGTATGTCTGGAGCAGGGGACGGTTGAAATGACAGGGTCGATTTGGAAGCTACGGTACCAGGAGTGGGTGTGCGAGGAGGGGAGGATTGGATAAGGAAGAAGCGTCTGCGGGAAGCTGGGCATGAAGCAAGGGGAAGCAGGCTCGGTGAAGGGGAGGGGGTGGAAGTGGGGAGAGGAGGGGAGGGGGACTGGCTGAGTGGCAAGGCGCGAGTGTGATACGCGGGTTGTTGCTTCGTGTACTCATGTGCCTCATATCTTTATACGGTATGAGGCACACACACAGGCAGGCACAGTGCGATGCCCACAAACATGGACTCAGACTCAGATGATACCGTCAGCATCTAATTTCACTCACTCACTCACTAACCATGAGCATCCATTGCACTGACTAGTCTGAGACTCTTAAAGAGTACCGGTACCCTCAGCTCTCGCTGCTCGCTAACCACTCCCTGTGAGAGTGAGACTGACCTCACACCAAACACCGCTGCCAACCACCCACCAACACTGCTGCTTACCTACATCATCCCTTGTTCTCCGCATGCGAGTCTTGACAATACCTACCACCAGCAACAAAGGTGTTGACGTTCTTGCTGTTGCTTATGTGCTACCAGTACTCACTGCTGCAACCTTACCTGTAGTTTGTTTATCTAATCTTTGTTGATCATTTGCTCACTATCCCATAAACGTCACCATTATGGTTATGAGAATCTTCATCTCGCAAGTGTTCTAACATGCTCTAGAAAACATGGGGGCTGTCTCTAGACACCGGAGTAAGAACACAGGAACATGAAAGTACCATTGGCTGTATTGCACCCACCAGAAGTTTATTCTGAGAATCAGTACACCTAGTAAGAGACTTCTGCTAAAAAAACTACCAGCTATAATCTTCAATTGAATATATCCTGCCAGAGGCAGTGCCTGCCTATCTGAAAACAGCCAACTCAAACTTACCATCTGCAGAATCCACTTTCAGTATGGTTTTAACAGGAGCGCTCCTACTAACATGTTCCTCCTGTTTAACCTTTTTTTGCCTTAGCATTTTTCCCGGGAAAGCTGACCCCATAAGCTTGATGTTATATCAGTCCCATAACATGTAATCTCCCACATAACCTCCTCCCCCTCCCCCCTCTCTCCCCACAACCCCCAACCACCCTCTTCCTCTTCCTAACCTCTCTTGATCCTTATCCTTCCCATGTCATGCCCTGTCCCCCCCTCAGGCTATCCCGCTCTCAGGCTATCCCACTCTCCTTCATGCGAGTGACTGCTTCCAAGGCTGTCTTGTTGGTGGGCTCAAGAATCAACGCCTGACTGAAGTCTGCATGCGGGGAATATACGGGGATGGGGGAGAAAGAATACAAGGGGGAGAGAGAGGGATGGGGGAGAAAGAATACAAGGGGGAGAAAGAATACAAGGGGGAGAGAGAGGGATGGGGGAGAAAGAATACAAGGGGGAGAGAGAGGGATGGGGGAGAAAGAATACAAGGGGGAGAGAGAGGGATGGGGGAGAAAGAATACAAGGGGGAGAGAGAGGGATGGGGGAGAAAGAATACAAGGGGGAGAGAGAGGGATGGGGGAGAAAGAATACAAGGGGGAGAGAGAGGGATGGGGGAGAAAGAATACAAGGGGGAGAGAGAGGGATGGGGGAGAAAGAATACAAGGGGGAGAGAGAGGGATGGGGGAGAAAGAATACAAGGGGGAGAGAGAGGGATGGGGGAGAAAGAATACACGGGGGAGAAAAAGAGGGAAGGGGGACAAGGGGGACAGGCAAGAAGAGGGAGAAGTGGGAGAAGAACGAGAGCAAGGGGTTGGATCTAAGTTGGTGCGGGTTGACGGGCAGGTGGGAGGGATGGCGGAGGAACGAGGATGTGAACAAGGGAGGCGAAATGAGAGAAAGGCAACAAGGCGGGGAGTGGGGAAGTGGGACCAGCGGGTGAACTCTGTAGGTGTGCATGCGTGCGAGAGTCATAGAGAATTTGAAGGACTAGAACCGTTAGCAACTCAAAAAAACCCCCCTTCTCTCCCCCCCCCCCCCCCCCCCTCTCCCCCCCCTCCCTCCTCCCCCTCTCGTTGCCTTCTGTATTCCAGAGATGGTACCTTCGAACGCCTCTGGGTAGAACCCGAGCATCTCTCTGGCTGTCCCTCTGCGCAGCATGGCCTTCACATTCTGATCGGGAGGGGGGGGGGGGGGGGGGGGGTAGATAGATAGACAGCAGACACACGCACAGAGGGTAAAAGCACAGCAGATTGAGACACGGTAGGCACGCACACAGCACAGAGATGGTTCCAAGAAAACAACAAATGACTTTTGAGGCACATAAAAAGACGCAGAGGGTAACCACACACCAGCCAGACAGAGGCTCGTTGGGCAAGCACAGAGCACGAAGATGGCTCCAAAAAAAACAGCAGATGCGGTGTGTGTAAAGAAGAGAGGTCATGGCAGGAGGAGCGGGAGGGGGAGGGGGAGGGGGAGGTGGAGGGGGAGGGGGAGGGGGAGGTGGAGGGGGAGAGAGAGGGATAGAGGGAGGGGTTGAGGGAGGGGGAGAGGGAGGGGGAGGGGGAGTTGGAGTGTGGGGGGGGAGGGGAAGTGGGAGAGGGAGGGGGAGGCGAGACAATCCAGTGACACACAGCTGTTGCTGGCTGTGTTGCGGAGAAAAACTCACTTTCTTGTCGAGACTCAACGCCGCTGTGCAATCCGCCTCCACTTGCTCAAAACTGCAGGGCGGGGGAGAGAAGACAGAATAGAGGGGGGAGAAGAGAAACAAAACAAGGCGGAGGGAGAGGATGAGGGGCGATGGGACATGGTATATTCCATGTTTCGATGAGCCACAGCAATGAATGAGCCCATGAGCCTACGACCCCATGTTTCGACTCACGTGTGCAGGTTGAGGTAGGTAGGCAATGGCTCGGTTGGAGTAGTAGAGTAGGTGGCGTTTGGGTAGAACAAACAAGGCCAGATGCAGCGGAAGCCAGATGCATGCACTGGAGAAACCATGCCATTCCGATTGGTCTCACTTGTGCAGGCTGAGGTAGGCCACATGGCGCGGTTGGAGTAGTAGAGTAGGTGGCGTTCTTGCAGCGCAGCAACAAGTAGTCAAACAGACAACAGCACAGCACATTGAGAGGACACACGCTGCAACGAGGCAACAAGGCAACCGCGACTGACTTGTGCAGGTTGAGGTAGGCCATGGCGCGGTTGGAGTAGTAGGTGGCGTTCTTGCTGTCGTGTCGGATGGCTGCTGTGTAATGGTCCACTGCCTCCTGATACTTCTTCTGCTTGTACGCCTTGTTGCCCTGATGGGGAGGGAGGGGAGGGGGGAATGGGGGGACAATGGGAATGAAAGGGAAGAAGGGGGAGTGGACGGTGGTGTTATTCTTGCTGTCGTGCCGGATGGCTGCTGTGTAATGGTCCACTGCCTCCTGATACTTCTTCTGCTTGTACGCCTTGTTGCCCTGGAGTGGGGAAGAGGGGAGTGGGACGGGTGGACGGTGGTGTTATTCTTGCTGTCGTGTAGGATGGCCGTCGTGTAATGGTCCGCGGCCTCCTGGTACTCCTTCTGCTTGTACGCCTTGTTGCCCTTGGAGGTGATGGAAGCGGGAGGGCAAAGATGACAGGACTTTTGAGTCGACTCAAAAGTCAGCTCTTGCCCTAGGAGGTGATGGAAGCGGGAGGGCAAAGATGACAGGAAACAGAGAGGCCAGCGGGTAGTGAATGAGGCAGGAGACGTCTAGAACCATCAACGGTGGGCAGCAGAGGAGGCCGGGGGAGTGGTGGTGGTAGATAAAAGCTGCTGGAGGTAGGCACAAGGAGACCGTCTAAGAATCAGGGAGCTTAATTGAATTGCAGGAAGCCATCTCCAAGGTTCAGAGATTTCATCAGGCCTATTTCTTTCTTCTAGGCTCCTCGAGTTTTGATGCGCCTCAAAACTCGTCCAATTCCAAGAATCAGGGATCTCTTTGAGCTCATCAGGTCTGACTGACGAGCTGAGAATCACAAAAACGTCCCAACTGACTGACAGCGAGCGTACTTTTTCTTTGGCGATTTCAGCTTGTGAGAGAACAGGCTGCGCTGCTGCTGATGAGGATGCGGAGGCTTGAGACTTGTTGATCTTGGGCAGTACCGCCTGCAGAATGGAGGCGAGGTGGAGAGGTGGAGAGTGTTTTTTAGGCGCCTCAAAAGTCATGCTGCTGATGAGGATGCAGAGGCTTGAGATGTGTTGATCTTGGGCAATACCGCCTGCAGAATGGAGGCGAGGTGGAGAGTGTTTTTTAGGCGCCTCAAAAGTCGTGCTGCTGATGAAGATGCAGGTGGAGAGGTGGAGAGAAGGAGAGTTCTTTTAAGCCGCCTCAAAAGTCGTGCTGCTGATGAGGATGCAGAGGCTTGAGACTTGGGCAATGCCGCCTGCAATGAGGTGGCGCAGTGGAGGGGTGGAGAGAACGAGAGGAGAGGAGATGCAGAGCGGGAGTGAGGCACACATGCATACAGGCAGAGACGCAGAGGCTTGAGACTTGTTGATCTTAGGCAATACCGCCTGCAGAATGGTGGCGAGGTGGAGAGGTGGAGAGAAGGAGAGGAAGCGGAGAGGAGGAGAGGAGGAGGGGAGGATAGGCGGAGGGGAGGAGAGAGCGGGAGATGGAGGACGAGAGTGAGGCAGACAGGCAGAGAAACAGGCACACAGGCATGCACATGCACTGCACAGCACAGAGCGATTTGGAATGATATAAGCATGTGGGAAAGCAGCGACATGGGAGACTAGAGAAATGCACACTCACATGCACATCCACCCAAAATCACATGGAAGGAAATACATGTGTGCAAATGCGAACACGCAAACCCCTCCACACACATATGCACATGCAAACACCCCTCTCACCTACCATCCATCACCCCTCACCTACCATCCATCACCCCTCACCTACCATCCATTACCCCTCACCTACCATCCATCACCCCTCACGCCGCACCTTATACGCATCTTGCACTGCCGGGGCAAAGTGCGTAACAGAGTCAAGCAGAAACCGGTCGGCCCCATGCCGTGCCATCAACCCCACTGCAAGCGGCAGGCCCGAGGGGGAACACTCCATACGCCCTATAGGCACTGTCACCTGCGCATGGGGATGGGCATGGACAAAGGGAAACCGGAACAGGAAGAGAGAGGATGTGGGTGGTGGGTGAGTGAGTGTGAGTGTGAGTGTGCCTGGATGAGTGCTAGACTGCTGCCTCACACGCCCTGTAGGGTGGCTGCTAGATGCGTGAAAGCGAAGGAGCGACCTGAGAGCGGTAGGGTTGGAGGGGGGCTTGAGACTATTTTGCTAAACCCTAGGGGTTACAGAAGTAGCTTCTAGCTTCCCCCCTCCCCGTTCCCCCTGATCCTCCCCTTTCTCCCCCTCCTGTTCTCGTCCCAGTGAGACTTTTCTCCCCCCACCTCCTCCCCTCCCCTCCTCCCCGCTCCTCTTCTTCCCCCACAACCTCCGTCCCCCTTCCCCCCCTTCTGTTCTTCCCCCCCGCAAGCACCTGCGGGCAGCCGGACATGGACCCAGGGGCCACGAGAAGCACGCCAGTTCCCTTGTACCTACCAGCATGCCATACCACCCCGTTCACCAAAAAAAAAAAAAAACAGCACACTACAGCACCACACAGTACACCACAGCACCGCACAGCACAGCGCAGAACAACAAGCACCTGCGGGCAGCCGGACATGGACCCGGGGGCCACGAGAAGCATGGCGGAGGCTCGGAACGCGTCCAGCACTTGAGGCTTGGCACGCAGCTTGGGGGGGAAGTCTGGCGTCACTGGCAGCGCTATCAGCCCGTCGCTCTGGGGAGGGAGCAAGGGCAGGGGGAAAGGGAGAAAGGGAGGGTGGAGGGGGGAAGTGGGGGGTATGGAGGGAGAGTAGCACGTGGGTCTTGGAACGCAGCTTGGAGGGTAAGTCTGGCGTCACTGGCAGCGCTATCAGCCCGTTGCTCTGGGGGAGGGGGAGAGGAATGTGTGCGGTGGGAGTGGGGGGATGGGGGAGGTGGAGAAATGGGAGGGTGGATGGATGATGGGGGGCAGCACGTGGGGCTTGGAAGGAAACTGCAGGCAGAGGAAGGAAGAAGGAGGAGAAAAGAGGGGGGGCAAGGAGGGCAACACGAGGTCTACACATCCATTCCAAGCCGGAGGGCAGCTCCTATCTATCCTGCGTGCCTCTCACCTTGCAGAGGTCAGCGATGGCGGCCCTTAGCTGCTCCCGCACCAGTTGAGCCTGGGCAGCATGGGCTGCGAGCGCCTCCGGCTCTGCCTCCACTGCTGCCTGCACGCGCACCTGCACGTCTGCCTGCAGCTTCGGCTGCACCTGCTGCACCCACTCCAGGTGGGCTGTGCGGAACTCGTGTCTGCGGAGACAAGCAGAAGTGCAGGGAATAAAGGTGAAGGGTTGGGGGTATGGGGATTTAGAGGTGAGAGGCTTCCGGGTTTGGGGTTGCATGGTTCGGGGGTGTGAGGGTACAGGGTTAGGAGCAGCAGGTGCTGCGAGCGAGCGCCTCCAGCTCTGCCTCCACTGCTGCCTGCACGCGCACCTGCACGTCTGCCTGCAGCTTCGGCTGCACCTGCTGCACCCACGCCAGGTGCGCCGTGCGGAACTCGTGTCTGCAGCACACAAACAAGTGTACAGGGGTTTCGGAGTAAGGGGTTTCGGGGTTGCAGGTTGAGGGGATAAGGACTTATCGCGATGAAGGGTTTAGGGTCTGGCAGGGGTTTTTGCCGGGTTTATAACCTCAAAAGTTTAGAGGGTCTATGAGGATTTCAGAGTCTGATCGTAGTGAAGAGAACTTGCAGCGAAAATTTCCTTGGTGACATTTCTCACACAAGGTACAAAAAGGTGCATTTGCTTCACAGGCTCACAGCAACATGTACCTTTGCAGCAGCTTCATCGCTTCTACCAGCGCTTGCAACGCCCTCTTCCCCTTCTCAGCTGGTTTCTTCACACCGCTGCTGCCGCCTTTCGAGACGTCTCAAACTATGACTCCTTTCCCTCACACCACAAAACACACCTTTGCAGCAGCTTCATCGCTTCTACCAGTGCTTGCAACGCCCTCTTGCCCTCCTCTGCCGCTTTCTTCACACTGCTGCTGCTGCTGCTGCTGCTGCTGCTGTCGGTGGTGCTGCTGTTTCCCTGCGGTGCTGCTGGTGGCGGCAGGAGGTTGAGAAAGTGTTGAATCGCTGGTACCCTCTTCAGCAGCAGGTCCTGCCCCACTTGCACGTACTTCACTATGGCTGCACAGACAGGGGGGCGTTGAAGGGCAAGCAGAGGGCAAGCGGGAGAGAGGGAGTGAGAGGCTAGGCTGAAATTGGCACTAGGTGAGATGTGGGGTTACACTAGAATCCACACAACAGCAGGTCCTGCCCCACTTGCACGTACTTCACTATGGCTGCACGGATGGGGCGTGGAAGGGCAAGCAGATGGGAAGGTGGGTGGTTAAAATACAGCCCACGCAGCAGCAGGTCCTGCCCCACCTGCACATACTTCACAATGGCTGCACGAATGGACACGGAGATGGAAAGAAAGCGGACGGGAGGCGAAGGTGGGGTTACATTACAATACATTCAGCGCAGGTGTGTGGGTCCTGCCCCACCTGCACGTACTTCACTATGGCTACACGGACAGGGGTGGGTTGATGGGAAAGCGGAGGGGAGCAACTGAGAGGCTTAGCTGAAAGAATGTGTGCTAGGGGGAAGGTTTGGCAAGCTGGGGGACCTCCTTCTAATACGACCCATGCAGCAGGCCCTGCCCCACTTGCGCATACTTCACTATGACTGCACTGCAGGGGGTGGGTGTAGGAGGACAAGTGGAAGGAGGGATTGAGAAGAGTGGCTGAAGGTGCAGAGTGATAGTGAGTTCTAGGCGCGGCGGGTGGACCTCCAATTACAATACAATGAGCGCAGGCAGCAGCAGGTCCGGTCCTGCCCCAAGAAGGAACAGCGGGAGGAATGGAACACCACACGGTGATGCTTTGTAACACTGACATTGTAAATCCAGACACAGCCCGCACAGCCAGACACTAAGGGGGGGGTGAGATGACCTAAGCCTTCCTCGGCTCACACTCACGACACAAGAGCTGCGCTCCCGCAGAAAGCATAGCTTCTGTGAAAGTTTAATAGCCACTTTCTGCGGGAGCGCAGCTCTTGTGTCGTGAGTGTGAGCCGAGGAAGGCTTAGGTCATCTCACCCCCCCCTTAGTGTCTGGCTGTGCGGGCTGTGTCTGGATTTACAATGTCAGTGTTACAAAGCATCACCGTGTGGTGTTCCATTCCTCCCCCCCCCCCCTCCCCCCTCCCCCCCTCCCTCCATTCCCCCCCCCACACACTCACGACCAAAGAGCTGCTCTCCCTCAGACAACACGGCTTCGGTGACGTGGTGGCGAGGGATGGAGCAGAGATCAAAGATCTTATCCGCTAGGTAGAGGGAGAGAAGGATAGACTGCCCTACACCCCTTTTCCCCCATCCCACCCTGCAAACACTCACGGCCAAAGAGCTGCTCTTCCGCGGACAGAACCGCCTCAGTGACATGGCGGCGGGGGATGGAGCAGAGGTCAAAGAGGTCATCGGCTAGGTAGAGGGAGAGCGACAGACTGCCCTACATTCCTCCCCGCCATCCCCCCCCCCTGCAAACACTCTTCCCCCACTCACAGCCAAAGAGCTGCTCTCCCGCGGAAAGCACGGCTTCAGTGACATGGCGGTGGGGGATGGAGCAGAGATCAAAGAGATCGTCCGCTAGGTAGAGGGAGAGCGACAGACTGCCCTACATTCCTGCCCCCCCTCCCTTCCCCCCCCGCAAACACTCACGGCCAAAGAGCTGCTCTCCCGCGGAAAGCACGGCTTCAGTGACGTGGCGGCGGGGGATGGAGCAGAGGTCAAAGAGGTCGTCCGCTAGGTAGAGGGAGAGCGGGCGGCGGGCGGGCGTGAAGGGCTGGCGCAGGAGAATGTGGCCCACGTGACGCAGCACTGCTGGATCCGCCGCAAAGACACCTGGAGGGGGGTAGGGAGGGAAGGGAAAGTGGGGAAGGGGGGGGTGGTTGGGGAGTGGGGGAAGGCGAAGGGGAGGAGGGAGAGGGAGGAGGGAGGGGAGGAGGGTGCAAGGTGAGGAGAGAGGGGGCGAACGGGAGACGGATGCGGCTGAGAGGTGAGCTTCGGTGGGGCTTGAGGTTATTGGGGTAGCAGTGGGGCTTGAGGTTATTGGGGTAGCAGTGGGGCTTGAGGTTATTGGGGTAGCAGTGGGGCTTGAGGTTATTGGGGTAGCAGTGGGGCTTGAGGTTATTGGGGTAGCAGTGGGGCTTGAGGTTATTGGGGTAGCAGTGGGGCTTGAGGTTATTGGGGTAGCAGTGGGGCTTGAGGTTATTGGGGTAGCAGTGGGGCTTGAGGTTATTGGGGTAGCAGTGGGGCTTGAGGTTATTGGGGTAGCAGTGGGGCTTGAGGTTATTGGGGTAGCAGTGGGGCTTGAGGTTATTGGGGTAGCAGTGGGGCTTGAGGTTATTGGGGTAGCAGTGGGGCTTGAGGTTATTGGGGTAGCAGTGGGGCTTGAGGTTATTGGGGTAGCAGTGGGGCGGTGTGAAGGGCTGGCGCAGGAGAATGTGGCCCACGTGACGCAGCACTGCTGGATCTGCCGCAAAGACACCTGGAGGGAAAGTGGGGGGGGGGGGGGGGGGGGAGTGGAAGGGAGGGGAGAAGGAGGGAGCAGTAGAGGAAGGGGCGAGGGACGGGGAGACAGATGTGAAGAGCGAGGAGCAAGGGAAGGTGAGACAAGACAACAGTGACAAGAGACACAGTGACAAGAGTCGGTGCCGTGGGGTGACTGTTGAGTCGACACAAAAGTGCCAAAAGTCGCCTAGCTAGGGAAGCCGCGACAACAGTGCCAAGAGGCGGTACCGTGGGTGGGGGGGAGATACAGGATACAGCCAGTAGTGGAGATGGCTGGCTGGCTTATACCTTCACGTGTCTCAATCACTACCTGCCAGGCTGCCAGGATGCATCAATCAACAAGGGACTTGAGAATTCTCGAAACACACCCTCGTCGCATGCATGCAGGACGTGTCAGTAGCAGTTAGGTGGGCAGCGGGCGTGTCACATACCCTCATCACACGCATGCAACGAGGACGCATGCAACGAGGTGAGTCGACTCAAAAGTCAAGACGTGTCACACACACACCCTCGTGCTCATCACACGCATGCAGTGCAATGCAAGCATGCGTTCATGCGTTCACGCGTTCCCTTACCGACGGTGTCAAGGGAGGGAGCCATGGGGACGCAACCAGCAGCAGAGATGGCGCCATGGGAGGGCCGGTACCCCAGCACTCCGCAGAACGCTGCTGGGATGCGGATGCTGCCTGCTGTGTCCGTGCCTGGGTGGGGGGGAGCAGCGGGAACAGAGGTGGAAGAGGAGGGGAACGTTATGAAGACTGCATGAAAGGGCCGGTACCCCAGCACGCCGCAGAACGCTGCTGGGATGTGGATGATGCCCACTGTGTCCGTGCCTGAGAGAAGACCGGGGGAGACGGAACGGGGGGACGCGAGAAGGGGGAGTGAGAGGAGAGGAGCGCCTTAGAGACTGCATGGGAGGGCCGGTACCCCAGCACGCAGCAGAACGCTGCTGGGATGCGGATGCTGCTTGCTGTGTCCGTGCCTGGTAGGGAGGGCGGGGAGGGTGGGGAGGATGGGGGTTGGGGGTTTGAAAGGGAAAGTGAAAAGTGAGAAGGAAGAGGAGGGATTATGGGGGTCTCAAGAGTTGGCGCCATGGGAGGGACGGAACCCAACCCCAGCACGCTGGAGAACGCTGCTGGGATGCCGATGCTGCCTGCTGTGTCCGTGCCTGGTAGGGGGATGGGGATGGGAGGAGCGAGAGCAGAGAAGGACAAGGGGGGAAAGAAGGGCAAGGAAAGGGCGGACAACTTTGGTTGAGAAAAGGGGACAGCCGAGCAACGAGTGGGGAGAAGGGAGACAGGGGGGACAGGGGGGACAGGGGGGACAGGGGGGACAGGGGGGACAGGGGGGACAGGGGGGACAGGGGGGACAGAGGGGAAACACAGGAATAAGATCCATCGCATGTGCATGTCAGGGCAGAGGTACACGAGAGCGAGAGCATGCGACAATGGGCTTGGTTCGGAGAGGCAAGGGGACAGAACAAGCAGCAACGAGAAGCGAGGGACAGGGAGGGAGGGCAGACGTGTGCAGTGGAAATGCAGTGAATGGGAGAGTATGTGATGCATGGGAGGGCGGGTGGTGGATTGGGGGGGTATGTGGCGCATTGATGGGAACAGGTGGCGCATTGGAGGGCAGAGGTACGGCGCAGTGGAAATGTGGTGCATGGAGGGGCATGGTGGGGGCGCATGCGGGGGAATGGTGGTTTATGTGTGAAGGCATGTGGTGCATAGGGCTGTGGGCATGGGAATGGAGGATGATGCATACCAAGAGCGAAGTCAGCTGGGTCGGCTATGTTGAGATCACTTTTTAGAATTCTCAAAAGTGAATGGAGGATGACACATACCGAGAGCGAAGTCAGCTAGGTCGGCAGAAATAGCAACAGCAGAGCCGCTGGACGAGCCTCCTGGTACGTGGTCGGGACACACGGGGTTCACTGGCGTGCCCAAAGCCTTGTTCTCGCCGAATATGCTGCCGTGAGGAAAGGGGGGAGAGTGGCGGGGAGAGTGGGAAGGAACGGGGGGGTTGTAGAGGGAGGTTGAGGGGGACGAAAAACGCATGGAAGGGACGGAAGCAGCAGCGCTTTTGCATAGAAAGGCAGCAGGGAATTGGGGAGAACCGTCACAACACCACCACACCGCTTCACTTCATCCCACCGTCGCTCACCTGTACGCCATCTCGTCCATGTGCGTCTTCCCCACCAGCTGCTTTCTAGTCGTTCGAGTAACCCACACCCCATCGCCTCATCATCCCAATGCATCCCATCCCATCGCCTCCCACCGTCGCTCACCTGTACGCCATCTCGTCCATGTGCGTCTTCCCCACCAGCTGCTCATTTTCTTATCAAACATACAGCACACTGCCTCACAGTACACAACCTCACCTCACAGCATCCCATCCCACCACCTCCCACCGTCGCTCACCTGTAAGCCATTTCGTCCATGTGCGTCTTCCCCACCAGCTGCGCGCCAGCCTCAACCAGCTCCCTCACGCACGGCGCCGTCTGCGTTGCAGGCGCATGGCTCGCCTTCCACGCGGGACTCCCAAACCCTGCCACGTGGCCCTCCACGTCGAATCTGCCAGCAGTGGAAGCGTGAAGGGCGAATGGTGAAGGGTGGAAGCGTGAAGGGTGGAAGGGTGAAGGGTGGAAGGGTGGAATGCAGCCATCTGAATAGAAACGGTCACTAAGGGACATTCAATCCGAAACGATACGCACACGCGTCAAGAACTTAACTAGCGCTCAACTTGCCTCCCTTACATGTCCTTAATGACGAACGTCAGGCCGGTCAGCGGGTGCGGCGCGGCCGGCGGCGGCGGCGGCGGGGGCGGCAGCAGCTCCACCTTCTCGGAAATGGCGCCCCAGTCCTTGGGGATTCCCCTGCGCCTTCTGCGGAACATGAGCAGTGCGCCGGCGATCGACAGGCCGAGCAACGGCACGATGGCCAAGAGCTGCTGTCCCATGACTGAGTGAGTGTTGCTGCAGAGACGAGAGACGAGACATTGGGGAGTGGGGGATGATAGGTTGGGAGTGGAACATGAGCAGCGCGCCGGCGATCGAGAGGCTGAGCAACGGCACGATGGCCAAGAGCTGCTGTCCCATGACTGAGTGAGTGTTGCTGCAGAGACGAGAGACGAGACATTGGGGAGTGGGGGATGATAGGTTGGGAGTGGAACATGAGCAGCGCGCCGGCGATCGAGAGGCTGAGCAACGGCACGATGGCCAAGAGCTGCTGTCCCATGACTGAGTGAGTGCTGCTGCAGGCAAGAGATCGAGCGGAAGGAGCGGAGGAATCAGGGAGAGAAGGTGAGGTTGACGAGAGGGAGATGGGGGGGAGGGGAGGAAACGGGTTGTTTGGGTGGAGGGAGGAGAGTGGGGGGAGAGGGAGGTGGGGTGGAAGGGGAGGAGAAGGGGGTGAGGAAGGCAGGCAACCATTGATAACGAGACGGGTTGCGGAACTGGAGAAAGATTATAAGCAGTTCCGTGAGACAAAGACGACGACGACGACGACTCGAAGGTAAAAAGACAGATCAACGGATCGATCTGAGGAACATTATTCAGAAACAAATCCACATTTTGTCGTCCGGCGTCTGTGGGTTATCTAACCAGAGTACCTTAGTCGTTTACACACACACAAAAAAAAGCCCGCGGCGCCAGCACACCTAGTGGGCCGACAGGATTAAAGAGTTATAGGGAGGTGTTGTCAATCTCACAGTACCAAGAACACGGCATGGCGACATTAGCTGACAAGACGAAGACAAGCAAGAAATGGGGACGAACGTTGGCCAAACGATAGGACATGACGGCACATACGCACCTAGAAGTTGGATTCCAAGTTTCAAATTACTGAATGACCAATCTGGCAACCTCTTCCTCCTCTTTCCACGCCTTATCGACTTGTGGTGCGAAAAAACGCGGATCTGAGGCGATCCTTGCGGTAATCAGCGAAGAAGATCAACCGTGTCCAGCGTCGATCAAAGGCTAATAAGGCGATCCACGGTGATCTAAGGCTATCAACGACGATCAGCACAACGGCAACGCCGGTTCTGCGCCTAAAATCCGATCGCGTCTCGAAATGGAGGCGACTTGTATAACGGATTTCAAATGTCGGTACTCAGTGGATGTAACTCACACCGCGCATCGCGTTACAACACTTCCCACGCAACACGCACCCGCGATCACGCGACCAACACCGCTGCGAACGACGAAATAATCGGGCGTAATAAAGAAGTACTGCTGGCGCAAACTTCACGGGCCAGCCAGGACAGAATCTTCCAGAAGAACCAACATATGAGGAGATGAGCAGAAGATTCGGAAGAACGGCTTGTTCTGTGCATGTAGAACAGTGCAGCGGACTTGGAGGCTAGGTATGGCGAAGCGTGGTCCGGAGGCTGGTATGGGGGGATCTGGGGTCTTGAGCAAGGCAGAAATGTCTGTGCCAGGGCTGATGGTTGGTTTAAAGCCCAAGACCTGAATTACAAAAAAAGGAAGGCAAACTGTGCACAGTTTGCCTACCGAACCCACAGTTGACCTCCCGAGCCAGGCTGGTTACCAGAAAACATTGCGCCAAGAAACACAGAGTCGTAGAGCAAAACAGGTTTGGTTGGCGAGAGTCCCAACCACACCCTCCTGAAGGAACAAGGGCTCAAAATGTGCACAGTTTGCCTTCTTCGGTAATTCAGGTCGTGTGATTTCCATAGTACGCGAAGCGATTAGAGTATGCGAAGAGATAGAATAAAACGCCACTACAGCATAGGCCATGAGCATTTTCAATTTTATTCCTAGCTCTTTCCCAAACATCGCATTTGGACCTATCGCCTTCCGCGTCCCCCACGCTTCTCCCCACCGTCTCTCACACACCTCCCCACGCACACGCCCACTCTTCCCACCGTCGCCCAAGCTTTCCCCCACCGTCGCTCACGCTTCCCCTTATCGCCGCTCACGCTTCCTCCGGCCTTCCCCCACACCGTCGCTCACGCCTTTCCCCACCTTCCCTCACGTTTCCCCTCTCATCGCCCACGATTCCTCCCACCGTCGCCCATGCTTCGGAGCACCGTCACCCACGCTTTCCCCACCGTCGCCCACGCTTCCCCCCATCGTCGCCCACACTTCCCCCCACCGTCACCCACGCTTCCCCCCACCGTCGCCCACGCTTTCCTCCACCGTCGCCCACGCTTCCCCCCACCGTCGCCCCCGCTTCCCCCAACCGTCGCCCACGCTTCCCCCCACCGTCACCCACGCTTCCCCCCACCGTCACCCACGCTTCCCCCCACCATCGCCCACGCTTCCCCCCACTGTCGCCCACGCTTCCCCCCACCGTCGCCCACGCTTCTCCCCACCGTCGCCCACTGCCACCGTCGCCCACCGCCACCGTCGCCCACCGCCACCGTCGCCCACCGCCACTGTCGCCCACGCTTGCCCTCCCATCGTCCTCGCTTAGCCTTCCCGCCGACCTCCCTTCTCTCCTCCTCTCTCCACGTCGTCATCACTCCCCTGCCCATCACGTTCCCCCTATTCACCATCGCTTCTCTACCCATGCCGCCCACCCTCTAATCCCTTCCCATCACGTGGGGTGCGGGAGGGTGCGTGGTCAGCAGCACCCTACCGTCGTATACACGTTCATTCATCACCCCTTCCCTCATCTCCCCATTCCTCATCTCCCCATTCCTCATCTCCCCTTCCCTCATCTCCCCACCCCTCACCTCCTCATCCCTCACCTCCCCATCCCTCTCCTCCACAGCCATCTCCTCCCCATCCCACACCTCCCCATCCCACATCTCCTCATTCCTCATCTCCCCATCCCTCATCTCCCCAATCCGCCTCACCCCATTCCGCCCCGCCACACCCCATTCCGCCCCACCCCTTTCTAGCCCACTCCATTTCGCCCCACCCCTTTCTGGCCCACCCCATTCCGCCCCACCCCAGCCTCCTCCCTAGCCTCCTCCCCACCCTCATGAGAAAATTAGAACGAGAATGATGTCAACTATGAATGAAGCGAGTACAAATATGAAACCCTAGTTGGGTTGTACCCCCTATGGGATACCCCACTATAGCCTACACAATAGCATAAGCTATAATGTTCTGACACACCCCCATAGGCAAAGTGGGGGAGAACAAGGGGTCACAAGACCAATCAAGCAAAGCAAAGCAAAGCTCAGGGTGGATCACAAAGTCACCACATATTCCGAGCACAAGTTCAAAGGCCAAAAGGCCAGTTCACATGCAAGAGCACATACATATATACGAGGCTAAGCAAGCAAGAGCAGGAGTATATATATGTGACAGTACAAGCAAGGTCAAGAAGTGAGCAAGTGAGGCAAGACAGGCACAAGACCCAGCTGAGTGCAGAAGCGCTGATGATCACAAGGCGCAAGTGCCTTGGTGAAAACATCAGCAGTGTTGGCCTCAGAGGCCACGTACGCAAGCCGCAACTGTCCACGCTGCTGTAGCTCACGAGGAAGAAAGTAACGGAGAGCAATGTGCTTTGTCCTGTGCTCCACTCGCTGCTCTCGACACAAGGCCAGCATGGCCTTGTTGTCTACGTACAGGACTAGAGGAGAACGAGGCAGCTCTCCAAGGTCGGTCAGCAGGTAGGTGAGCCAGCGCAGCTCCTGGGCAGCCATAGCCCCGGCGTAGATATCAGCCTCACAACTGGAGCCGAGAACAGAAGACGAGCGGGTAGCTCGCCACGAAACAGAGCCGGAACCAAGACTGAAGGTGTAACCCTATGACGACCGCTGCGTAGCCTGGTCATCAGCCCAAGAAGCGTCCGCGTGACCAGAGAGGACCACTGGACTCCGCCCTCCAGGCACTAGCCACATGCCCGACGTACTGCACAAGTAGCGCAACACCCTCTTCGCTGCAGCCATGTGCTCTGGTCGGTGTCTCTCAGGAGCAACATAGCGTGCAAGAATGCTAAGAGGGTATGCAAGGTCAGGTCGTGTGCAGGTCATCAGGTACATGAGGCAGCCAACAAGCTCTGGATACGGGCCACTCGACTCTACGGACTCATCTGAAGGCAGAGCTGAGAGTGAGTGGCGAGTAGGCAGAGGAGTGGCCTGAGGCGAGGAGTACGTGAAGCCGAAGCGCTGAAGGACCTGCTGCACCATGTGTGACTGAGTCAAGGTAATGGTGCGGCGTGCTCTGTCCCGGGTGATCTGCAAGCCAAGGTAGCTGCGCAGTTCACCCAGGTCTGTGCACGTGTGTCGCTTCTGCAGCTCGGACTTCACGTAGGCGAGTCCAGCAGTGTCAGCTGTGGCAAAGACCAAGTCGTCGACGTACACGAGGATGTAGAACGGCGGCAGAGAGGTGTCGGTGCGTAGAAACAGCGACGGGTCGGCAGTAGAAGGAGCAAACCCAAGAGCCGCAAACGTAGTCCTCAGTGTGTCGTGCCACTCACGTGGCGCCTGGCGGAGACCGTAGACTGGACGCCGGAGACTCCACTGGGTACCAGGAGGGAAAGACCCAGTGAAGCCAGGTGGGCGGCGCAGCCAGATCTCCTCGTGCAGGCTGCCCTGCAAGAAAGCTGTGCTGAAGTCGAGAGAGTGGAGCTCGTAGTCACGGTGAGCAGCAATGTGCAGCAGTACCCGAAGAGTGGTCATCTTCGGGGTGGGGGAGAAGGTCTGAAAGTAGTCAACTCCCTGCCGCTGACTGAAGCCACGAGCCACGTAACGCACCTTGAAGACAGGCGGAGAACCCGGCGGCCGCTTCACCCTGAAGATCCACATGCCACTGACGATGTTCGCCCCAGGAGGGGGGACAGCGTCAACGTAGGTGCCTGTGGACTTCCAGGAAGCCATCTCTGCATCCATAGCTGCCTGCCACTGAGAGGAGTAGGGACCCTCTATCGCCTCCGCGTAAGAGCGCGGAGTCGGGATGTCAAGTGCATCCGGGTCTCCCTCAGGGGTAAGCAATACGGACACGAGATGAGGTGAAGCAGCAGCCAGACACTGGAACTCCTCCTGCCTGTCCTCAAGGACGTCCGTGCCAAGAGCACACTCACCCCCGACGGACGGAGGACAGACAGACGCAGACTCAGCAACAAGACTAGCAGCGTAGTCTAGACGACAGCGAGCAGCAAAGTCGACGAGCTCAGCAACAACAGCAGACGCAGCAGTGGACTCAAAGGAGGGGTCAGTGACAACAGTAGCAAGGAGACGCGTGACAGTAGGACTGGCACCTCCTCCCCAGCCTCCTCCCCACCCTCCTCCCCACCCTCCTCCCCACCCTCCTCCCCACCCTCCTCCCCACCCTCCTCCTCACCCTCCTCCCCACCCTCCTCCCCACCCTCCTCCCCACCCTCCTCCCCACCCTCCTCCCCAGCCTCTCTTCCTCCCCTCCCTTCTGCTTCTCCCCCAAGCGTCCTCCCTACCTCTCTTCCTTCCATCATCACTTCCTCCCTTCCTTCATTCCTGCATTCCTCACTTCCTCCCTTCCTCCATTCCTCCCTTCCTCATTTACCAGTTGTCATTCCCTTATACTTCACCCACGTCACATCTCACTTCTTGATTTGTGTTTGGACAGGTCTGCTCTGCATCTGGTTGTGCATATGCTAGCTGTCTGATAGTAACACACCTATAGCCATGCCATATATTGGATTCTTTTTTTATAATACAGGATTATGAGCCTCAGAGCAATCATACACATGACCAATACCAAGGAATTCAACAATTAATATATTACCGTATCTGTAAAGTAAGGGGAATCACCAGACTCGAGAAGGGAACAAAGCTAGGGGGTGTATGTGTAATGTTGTTTTCCGGTTTTGTCTGCTACACTGCAAGCAATAAATCAGGCCGTGGTAAAGCCACATCTGGTGCTGAGCACCTGTAACTGCATTTGGGGGTATGGGGGTGAGTGAAGGGGGAAAGACAGTAAACTGAATGAGCAGAGGGGAAGAGAAGAAGCAGCGGGGGACAGATTGAACAGAGGGGAAGAGAGGAAGCAGGGGGGAACAGAGTGAGCAGGAGTAAAGAGAGTGAGCAAGGGGGAAGAGAGTGAGTAGAGAAGAAGGGGAGGGAGCAAGGGTGAAACTGAGGGAGCAAGGGTGAGCAGGGAAGGCGATAGGGGGAAGCAGGGAAGGAGATAGGGGGAAGCAGGGAAGGGGATAGGGGGGAGCAGGGAAGGGGATGGGGGTGAGCAGGGAAGCGGATGGGGGGATGCTGGGAGGGGGACGGGGGAAGGAGGGAAGGGGACGGGGGGAAGCAGGGAAGGGGAAGGGGGAAAGCAGGGAAGGGGATGGGGGGGAGCAGGGAAGGGGTTGGGGGGGAGCAGGGAAGGGGATGGGGGGAGCAAGTCAGAGGATGGGGGGAAGCAGCGCAGGGGATACGAGGAAACAGGGAAGAAGGGAAGGGTGTATGTGCGGGTTGGAAAGGGGGCGTGACAAGTGTGCGAGATGGGAAGGGAGAAGGGAGGGATGGCGAGGGCAACGAGGAGTGGAAGGGAGGGCGACGGGGAAAACGAGGGCGACGGGGGGAGAGAGAGACGGGGATTGCGAGGGGACGAGCGCGAGACGAAGGGGGGCAACAGGCGGAAGGGAGGGAAAGAGAGCGTGAAGGGGGAAAGAGAGTGAGAAGGGGGGAAAGAGAGTGAGCAAGGGGAGGGAGAGTGAGCAGGGGGGGAAGAGAGTGAGCAGGGGGGGAGAGAGTGAGTATAGGCGTGAGTTGGGAAAACAGGGGCGAGCAGAGGGGGTAAGAGAGCGTGAAGGGGGAAAATGGGTGAGAAATGGGGAAAGTGGGGTTAGAACAAGGGGAGTGAGCAGAGGGAAAGAGAATGAGGAGGGGGGAAGCGAGTGAGCAGGGGGAAAGAGATAGAGGAGGGGGGAAGCGAATGAGCACGGTGGAAGAGAGTGAGCAGGGGGAAGAGAGTGAGCAGGGGGGAAGAGAGTGAGCAGGGGGGAAGAGAGTGAACAGGGGGGAAGAGATTGAGGAGGGGGGAAGCGAGTGAGCAGGGGGGAAGAGAGTGAGCAGGAGGAAGAGAGTGAGCAGGGGGAAAGAGAGTGAGCAGGGGGGAAGAGAGTGAGCAGGGGGAAAGAGATTGAGCAGGAGAGAGTGAAAGGCAATGGGAGGGGAAGTGAAGGTGACGGGTGGGAAAGCGAGTGTGACGGGAGGGGGAAGTGAAGGCGACGGGAGGGGGAAGGGAAGGCGACGGGAGGGGGAAGTGAAGGCGACGCGAGGGGGAAGTGAAGGCGACGGGAGGGGGAAATGAAGGCGACGGGAGGGGGAAATGAAGGCGACGGGAGGGGGAAATGAAGGCGACGGGAGGGGGAATTGAAGGCGACGGGAGGGGGAACTGAAGGCGACGGGAGGGGGAAGTGAAGGCGACGGGAGGGGGAAATGAAGGCAACGGAAGAGGGGGGCGAGTGAAGGCGACGGGGGAGAAGTGAAGGCGACGGGGGAGAAGTGAAGGCGACGGGCGGAGCGAAGGCGACGGGCGGAGCGAAGGCGACGGGCACGCGACAAGCTGCGGAAGCGATGGCGACGACGCGGGCGAAAGAGAGCGGAAGCGTGGGAAAGGAAAGCGAGGGCGAGGGGAGGGTCACGTTTCGGCGAACGGTTGCGATTCGATTTTCGCCACGATTTTACGCTACGGAGTAGTTGCACAATAACCTGCATTTCGACACAATAATCTTCACCCAGCGCAAACTAGCTTTGCGCGTCATCATTGCAAATTCGCGCCACCCAAATCATATGGCGCATCTACTCCCTTTTGAGTGAACGCCGACGCCCTGCCCTGTCTACAGGTATGGTCTATGCCTAATACTCTGCGTGCTATCCCAAACTGTGCACAGTTTGATAAGCTCGCGCTTTTCTGGTTGTGGGAAGGGCACCAACCATCATGGGAAGCGAGAAACTTTTGTCACAAATTGGTTTCGCGAGTGAAAATCTCTCGCAACCCAACCGAACCTCTCCGTGCCTGCCTCCTGAACCTAGTTTTTAGCGTTGACTTCCGTTGAGTAATTTAGGTCTTGGGCTTTGAAATGCAGCTTCAAGGGAAGGGAGGTTTGGTTTCGAGACCAAACCTCCCTTCCCTTGAAGCTGCATTTTAAAGCCCAAGACTACGAATAAGTGCAGGATAAGTAACGCACTGAGTCTGATTCATTACTTATCCACATACGTGGTACTGGATCGACTGGATCCGCGCTGCTCGTCTCCAGCTCCGAGAGAGTTTCGGCTCGGACTTTCCTGTTGTGCGTCTGCACTCAGACCATGATCCAGGATCATAGGATCCTGGTGATGGATATGCAGCACTTTCCAGCAACCTGGGAAGGCTGATTCGTTAAGACGCAGTCTGACGCTTCTCTTGTGTAAGTTTATGTCTCATGCTGCAAGGACTGTATTCCTCATAAACTGATAATACGCTCTTCGTTGTATGAACAAATTACCTTCAATATATCAATGATTCGGAAACGAATAATACATCCTTTGATAAGTTATTATTTCGTTGATTCTCCGATTATGTATTACGGAGAAGTGTTCTCAAAAACAGATTATTACCTAAGAAGTTAAACGGTTCAGTATCCTACATATTACTCAACGTTTTCCTAACTGCTTACAAGTGAACACTGAATTATCTGTACCTATATTTTTCAAGCCCAGACATTTGCACAATGCCCGCGGTGGAGAAACTCACGTTCTGTTCACGTAGGGATCAACCTATCCATTCACCTCGCCACGTCAGTCTCTCCCGCCAAGTCTTAGGGCGGGTCCAGCACGTACGTTTTCCGTACATTACAGTTCATCCAGTGCGACAATCTGTATTGCGTCACGGTTCAAAACGGTGCAGTTGCAAAACCGCTGTGCACCGCCTGATATCTACCCAAACCACTACGAATGAACTGTATAGGACCTGTAAACGTACGCGCTGGATCCGCCCTCAGTGCTGTGGTCTTGCGCTGCGGACGAGCGCCTACATAGCCCGCATGGGTGCTTTACTCAAACCTCCGCGCCCCTGCAAGCATTTCCCCGTGCTGTCCTTCCCCATCTTACTTTCTCCGCGCCCCTAGCTTCATGCTGGAAAATTCTCCAACCCGATGCTCCCTAGATATTTGAAGGACCAGGCTCCTCCCTCCATGTATGACCTAGATATGTATTACATCTCACTCAATGTGACATTTTGGCATTTTTGGCAGAGAACGTCAGTTTCGTTTATGCCTAGCATAGGATGCGTTTTACCGTGTTAGGTGCTTGTGCAGCGACGTAAGGGACGGGTGCTCCTAAGCGGTTCCTTTGTTCTTGCACCGTTTGGGCTTTTGCTTTCTAGATCGGGATCCTAAGCGTTCTTCTTGCTTGACACGGATTTTGCTTTGTTAGAATGTTAGTCATGTTCACGTCAAATACAAAGTTAATAGATGCTTAAGAATCATATTCTCGTCTCGAAATAGTTCTAGCCTTATTTTTTCTGTGTGAGTCTCACTCTTGTTTCGAAGCTGATCGCAACGCAAAACTATTTTTGCGAACGTTTTAGGTCAAGCTTACGGGAAATTTAGTTTGCCATTTTCCTGATCAACGTCATGTCGACACCTTCAGCAGAAGCGACTAAAACGAGCATCGAAGAATCACCAGATGTAGCTGCTCCTGCCGCTCCTCCTGCACCTGTAAATGCGTCCGTAGACCCTCCTGAAGAGAGCGCCGAGCAGTTACCGTCAGAAACCATAGGCGAAGCTGACGGAACCACGAAAGCTGGCGAAACCGGAGAAGTTAGCGAAACCGGCGAAATCGCGAAAGCTGGTGAAGCCGGCGAAAGCGAGCAAGCTGCCGGGGCGGAGGAAGAGGAGGAATACCACAGCGATCTTGAGGATGACGTGGAATTAGTTCCGAGACGACGCGGCGCGAGCGATGATGAGGGTGAAGATGGAGAGGAGGGCGATGAGGAGGGGTTTTTGGATGGTGCGGAGGGGGAAGGAGGGGAAGATTACGAGGAAGCGTATGAAGAGGCGGAAGAATCGGAGGGTCTTGATGATGGGGCAGGCGGTTACGCGGAAGAAGATGCTCGTCTCGGCGCGGCTGACGTGGCAAGTTCTGACGGGGAGATGCCAGGGTTTGGTGACGTGGCGGCAGCAGGAGGGGCAGCATCAGGTCCGGAAGTGGTCAAGGTAATTGGCGCGGAGGGGACAGACCGGCCGGGGGGGGAGGTACAAGGCGCGGAAGCGGAGAGTACAGCGGAGGGCCAGGGCGGAGCAGCGGAAGGGGCTTCGGCGGAAGGGGCTGGTGCGGAAGGTGGTGCCGCGGAAGGGGATGCTGCGGAAGGAGCAGCGGAAGGAGAAGCGGAAGCGGAGGTGAAGAAGGAAGCAGAGCCGTTTGTGGTGCCGACTTCTGGCGCGTTCTACATGCATGATGATCGCTTCGGCGAAGGCCAAGGCGGAGGTCGATCCAGGTAAGCCCGTTGTCTTGATCTTCAGTCGCGTCATCCGGCGCGATGCGATTTACATGCAATGATCTCTCCGGTGACGGCCCAGGCGGTATGGATTTTTGTCGTACCTGTTGGATCTGCTGTTTTAAATTTCGGGCTATATGTGGTGTGTCTGAGTACCCAAGTGCTCGGATCACGATCTTGTATCCTGTTGCTCGAATCCGTCTAGATTCGTGTAACGTGCCCGGCCCGTCGTTGAATACGTATTCAACAATGAGGGCCTTAGCTGGAATGCACGGGGTGAACAGCGGGATCAAGGAAAGAAAGGAACATCAAACAAAAAAATCGGGCGTCTCAGAATTTAGGGTTGCGTGTACATGGGTCTCTGTGCTTAGGGTTACATATTGAGCGAGCGTTCAGCGCGCTTGCTCGCCAGCCCCGCGCGTTAAGCTGCTTGCAGGGTGACTCGGCAATTAAGCTTGCGATTTGAAGCTCTTACACAATCGTTGAGACGAATGTTGAGGCAGGTCATATAAGATGCATGTACAACTGGAAGCGCAGTCTGCTGATAGACGATTCAGATCATTCGGACGATACATGGTTTCAGATAGTTAGGCCTTATTGTCTGAAGTAGTAAGCAAGAAGTTTTCCTGGCCCGTTGTTTTGCCTGTTTCCGGTCTGAAATTCTCTCGCGCAGGGGCGGCAGGGGCGGGCGTCGGCTGTGGGAGTCCGGGCGGGAGGAGAAGAAGTGGAAGCATGATCTGTTTGAGGAGCTGGAGCAGGAGGAGAGCAACGGGTTCAGGGAGCAGGGCGGGTGGGAGCAGCAGCAGTTCTCGGTGAGATTAGGGGGTTAGGAGTGTGGGCTGTGTGCGAATACTATACTTCATTGGAAACACAATCGGTTTGAGGGGCTGGAGCAGGAGGAGAGTAACGGGGTTCAGGGGGTGGGAGCAGGAGCAGTACCCGGTGAGATGCGGGGGTAGGAGTGTGGGTGGGTTGTGTGTTATGTCTAGATTTCCGATAAATTGTTTTCAGGAAGTAGGGGAAGCGCGATTTGTTTGGGGAGCTGGAGCAGGAGGAGAGCAACGGGTACAGGGAGCAGGGCGGGTGGGAGCAACAGCAGTACTTTGTGAGATGAGGGGGGTGGGGTGTGGGCTGTAGAGAAAATCTGGTGTGGGATGGAGTGGGTTGGTGCGTGTAGTTCTGCAGTAGAGGGTTTAGCACGTTATCTAATATCTACGGTCGTTTCAAAGGCGTATGCACTGTACCCTGGGAGGAGCACTGCTTTTCTTATGCGTATGTAACCGTTTTCGTAATTTCCCTCATCTCCTGCTCCTTCTTCACGCCCCTTTTCTTCACACTCTGTCATGCCCCTCCCCCCTCCCGCCTCCCCCCTCTTCTTCCACCCCCGCGCGCCCCTCCCGCGTTTCCGCTTCCCGAATCCCTACTGCAGGGGCGCGGAGGCCGCCGCGGCAGGAGGGGGGGCAGGGGCGGCTTCTTTGGCGGAGAAGTGGGTGGATGGCCGCGAGGAGGGGGAGGGGGAGGCGGAGGCGGAGGGAGGGGTCGTGGCAGAGGCAGGTATGTTGGCTGCAGCTTGAAACGACAAGTATTTAGTTCCGATTCATTTTGTTGTCTACAGGGACAGATGCGTGCGATTCAGATCCGCACCCATCACACCAGCGTTTTGTTTTGATTTGTTTTGGCACGTGCTAAACGGTAAACTCCTTACAATGAGCAAGCTACGTTTCCTTTAAGTTGCTAGCTTGATGCGAAAACACCACTGAATCGACTCAAAACACACCAGTGACTTTTACTCAAAGCGCATATTGTCAGTAGCTTCAGTGTCAACGCTGCTGCTACTCCTGCTGCCGAATCTCGTGTTTACAACCAACGTGCAAGCTTACCTGTTCCACCCCACTCTACCCCACCCATCCTTCCCCTCGTCTTTCTTCGTACCAGGGGTGCGTACGGCACAGGAGACCCTTACTTTGCTGCTGCACCACAGCAAGGGGAGGGCGTGGCAGGAGCAGCAGCAGCAGGAAGAGGAGTGGCAGGAGCGGTGGGTGGTGGTGCTGCTGCTTCTGGTACTGCTGGTGCTGCTGGTGGTGTTAGTGGTGCTCCAAGCGCGTGGCGTGGCGTTATGGGGTCGGCACCAGCAGCTGCCCCCGTCCCCGGTACTGGCATCCTCGCTAGCTCTCCCTACGCTCCGTCTGCATCATCAGCAGCAGCTCCAGCAGGGGCAGGAGCAGGGGCAGGAGCAGGGGGAGCAGGCATCGTGTCAAATCTGACGCAGGGGATAGGGGCTATGTCAGTAACCCCCGCTGGAGCATCTGCTGCTGCCTCAAGTGCAGAAGGCACAGGGGCAGGAGGGGTAGGATGGCAGGACATGGGTGCGGAAGGAAGGGGAGGCGGGGGCGGGAGGGGGGGCGTAGCAGCAGGTTTGGGAATGGGGGGGCGCGGGAGAGGCGGGAGAAGGGGGAGGGGGGGACGAGGGTATATGGGGACGGGTTCTGGTGCGGGGGCAGGGGGAGGGGGGGCGGAAGGAGGGGGGGATTCCGGAAGTTTTGCAGCTGTGGGGGGAGGAGTAGGGGGAGGGGCGGCAGCAGGAACGGCAGCTGGTGCTACTGCAGCAGCATCAGCCCCTGGAGGTCATGGTCTGCTACAGCCGGTTAACGCTACTGCTGCTGCAGCAGCTGCTTCTGCTACAGCCGCTACAGCTGCTACAGCTGCGGCTGCTATAGCCGTGGCTCCTACCGGTTGGGGTAATTCCACCCCCCAAGGTACGGCCCAAGGGACGGTAGCAGGGGCAGGGGGGTTTGGAGGAGGAGTAGCAGCAGCAGGAGTGGGAGCGGCAGGGGGAAGGGTATCAGGTGTGGTGGTTTCAGGACCGGCAGGGGGCACGGGAGAAGGAATGGGAGGAGGTGGAGGAGTAGGAGGAGGAGCAGTCAGAGGGAGGGGGTATGGTGGCGGTTACGAAGGGAGGGGAGGTAGAGGAGGGAGAGGAGGGAGAGGGGGGCGAGGAGGAGGGTATAGGTACTTGGGTGGGCAAGGCATTGGGGGGGATGTTGGGGGGGGCTGGGCTGGGGGAGGGGGAACGCAGGGGGTGACAGGAGGGGGTGTTTCCGGCGGGCGAGGGCAGGAGCATTATGACTGGCAGCAGCAGCAGCAGCAGCAGCAGCAGCAGCAGCAGCAGCAGCAGCAGCAGCAGCAGCAGCAGCAGCAGCAGCAGCAGCAGCAGCCGCAGCAGCAGCAGCCACAGCAGCAAAAGAAACTGACAGCGGTCGGGGTGCGTGATTTTGTGCCTGCCAGCCAGCAACAGCAGCAGCAGCAGCAGCAGCAGCAGCAGCAGCAGCAGCAGCAGCAGCAGCAGCAGCAGCAGCAGAAGCAGAAGCAGCAGCAGCAGCAGCAGCAGCAGCAGCAGCAGCAGCAGCAGCAGCAGCAGCAGCAGCAGCAGCAGCAGCAGCAGCAGCAGCAGCAGCAGCAGCAGCAGCAGCAGCAGCAGCAGCAGCAGCAACCGCAGCAATATTACCATCAGCAGCAGCAGCAGCAACAGCAGCATTACTATCAGCAACAGCACTATCAACAGCAGCAGCAGCACTACCAGCAGCAGCAGGCGCGGTGGCAGCAGCCGCGATCCCAGGTTGCTTCTGGTGCAAATGGGACTGATGCAGGGGGAGGTACATATGGGGAAGGCTCTACCCAGGCGGGAGCAGTAGGGGCGGCTGACGGATCGGGAGTGAAGGGAGTAGATGGGGTTTCAGGGGGAGGAGAAGCAGGAGGAGCAGCAGCAGCTTCAGCTGAGAATGGAGCCGGAGGTGGTGGTGATGTAGTGAAAACGAGCACGGGTGCAGCTGTGGCAGCAGCGGAAGGGGCAGGAGCAGGAGGAGGAGGAGGAGGAGGAGGAGGAGGAGGGGGAGGAGCAGCAGCAGCAGCGGTGCCAGGAGCAGCAGCAGAAGGAGGAGCAGGGGGAGCAGCACAGGCAGGGGCACAGGCAGGAGCAACAGCAGTGGGGTATGCGGATCAGGTTGGTAGCAGCAGCAGCAGCACTGGTGGATTAGACGTAACTGCTGATATGCATCAAAACGCAGGGATGGGAGCAGGGATGGGTGGAGGCATGGGCGCAGGTATGGGCGCAGGGATGATGGTACTGGGGATGGATGGATCAACCATGCATATGGACGGGGGAGTGGCAATGGGGGGCCAGGCCATGCAGAGTGGGGCAATGCAGGGAGGGGCGATGACTGCAGGAGGAATGGGAGGAGCGGCAGGGAGTATGATGAGAGTGAGCGCCCCGGATTACACGCCCAAGGGCATGCAGATGCAGCAGATGCAGTATGGGCAGCAGCAGCAGCCAGGAGGGGCGGCGGCGGCGGCAGCAGCGGCTGCTGCAGCGGCGATGGGCATGGCGATGCCGGCCTATTCCATGGGGCAGGCGCCGCACTATGCGTACGCGAGTACTGAAGTCACTTGGTGAGTTTTCTATATGGGAGTGCTTAACGAGTGAGCGGCGATGGGCATGGCAATGCCGGCGTATTCCATGGGGCAGGCGCCGCACTATGCCTATGCGAGCACCGAGGTCACTTGGTGAGTTTTTTATAGTGGGGTTGTGCTGTGGATTGTATGGGGAATGAGCAGAGATGGGCATGGCGATGCCGGCCTATTCGATGGGGCAGGCGCCGCACTATGCTTATGCAAGCACTGAAATCACTTGGTGAGTATCTTCTAGTGGGGTTGTGCTGTAGAGTGCTTGACGAATGAGCAGAGATGGGCATGGCGGCCATGCCGGCGTATCTCATGGGGCAGGCGTTGCACGATGCTTATGCGAGCACGGAGTTCAGTTGGTGAGTTTATAGCACGGTTGTGCTGTAGATTTTTGAGTCGACTCAAAAATAGGTTTATAGCACGGTTGTGCTGTAGATTTTTTAGTCGACTCAAAAATAGGTTTATAGCACGGTTGTGCTGTAGAGTATGTGCCAGTGGGCACAGGGCGGTGCAGCTAGCAAGGGGGGGGGGGGGGGGTACGGGCAGCCGTTCATAGCCGTGGTGGATCCCTCAATGCGCTCTAGCTAGCATTCCACTCACTCGCCCACTCACTCGCCCACTCACTCCCACATTCTCTCACCCTATCCCTCTCCCCCTCATCCCCCCCCTCCCCCATCCTCCCCCTCAACCCCCCTCCCCACAGGGTGCCAGTGCTGACGCCAGGGGGAGTGGGAGCGGCGCAGCTAGCAGCGGGGGGATACGGGCAGCCGTTCATAGCAGCAGGGAATTGCACAGTGCAGGCTAGCTAGCCCTTCCTCCTCCCCCCGCTACTCACTCACCCACTCACTCCCACACTCTCGCACCCCACCTCACCCTCTTTCCCAAACCGCACCTCTCCACCCCCCTCCTCCCTCCCCACAGGGTGCCAGTGCTGACGCCAGGGGGAGTGGGAGCGGCGCAGCTAGCAGCGGGGGGATACGGGCAGCCGTTTATAGCAGCAGTGGACCCATCCAACCCCACTGCCGCCCTCTACTATGCGCCTGCTTCCGCTGCTGGGCAGCAGGCTGCTGTCTACGCCGCTGGGGGCAGGTGAGAGTTGTTTAACTGGGTTGTGGGACAGGGGGGGAAGGGTTTGGGGGGGAGGGTGGGGAGGTGAGGAAGGGAGGAAGGGAGGGAGGGGGTGGAGTAAGTGAGGGAAAGGGGGAAGTGATGAAGAGGGGGAGAGGGAGGGAAGGGGGCTACGGGCAGGCGTTCATAGCAGCAGTGGGCCCTGTCCAACCCCACTTCTGAATGTTGCAGAGTGGCCCTGTCCAGTGAGAATTCTCAAAAACACTCTGCAACATCGTGGGCCCTGTCCAACCCCACTTCCGCGCTCTACTACCCCCCTGCCTCTGCTGCTGGGCAGCAGGGGGCTGTCTATGCTGCTGGGGGCAGGTGGGTCCGAGGCTTGTGGGGAATGAACGGGGTGTGTTATTGAAATGAACGGGGTTGTGGCGGCAACAGGTTGCTGTCTATGCTGCTGGGGGCAGGTGAGGCGCTTTGAGGAGGGAAAAGGGAGAGGGGGATGGGAGGGGGGGCAGGGAGGGGGGGCAGGGAGGGGGGCCAGGGATCAGGGGGGGCGGTGGGGGCAGGTGAGGGCTGAGGCTTGTGTATAAGGTAGAAAGAAAAGTGGATGCTTATTTGGGCAAATCTGCTGCACACCGCCCGCTACACATGGGTTGTAAGAATAGTACATAAAACTAGAGGATGCTGGCATTGCCTCAAGAGTCTCATAGCTAGCAGACCATATCCATCAATCTCCCCTTCCTTTTCTCCCTTGTCCCCCTCGCACCCCTCTTCCTCTTGCCCTTCTTCTCTCCTGTTCCGTGCTCCCTGCCGTCGCCCATGCCATCAGTGCACCTGTGGACATCTCAGCCTCGATCGCCTCTGCTGCAGCTCTCTGGAAACCCCCACGATGACTTTTGAGTCGACTCAAAAGTCAACTCTTCCTTCCTCCTCTTGCCCCACGTCTTTTCATGTATGTTCCGTGCTCTCTGTGGTTGCCCACGCCATGCCATCAGTGCACCTGTGGACATCTCAGCATCGATCGCCTCTGCTGCAGCTCTCTGGAAACCGCCACAGCAGCAGCAGCTGCCATCCGCCACAGGTGTGTGTGTGTGTGTGTGTGTGTGTGTGTGTGTGTGTGTGTGTGTGTGTGTGTGTGTGTGTGTGTGTGTGTGTGTTTTCGACTGCCATGCGTCTGTGTATTTTGTGTTCAGGCATGCCCTTCACATCAAAGTTTTGTGAAACAGTTGACGCACTCAAAAAAGGCCTTCGATGTTCCAGTCTTTCTTTTCCCTCCTCTGACTTTTGAGGCACCTCAAAAAAGGCCTTTGATGTTCCAGTCTTTCTTTTTCCTCCTCTGCTATCTTTATCTTTTCCTCCGGTTGACTCCCCTCCTTGTTCCCGCGCTCCCCTCTCTACCTACCTGCCAGTCACAGAAGTGCTTCCTGGTGACCAGGAGTACCACTCATCGCAGCAGCAGTGATTTTTTAGCATCAATGATTCCAGCAGCAGTCGCAATTCCAGCAGCAACAGCTGCTTCAGCTTACAGCAGCAGAGATCCCTCCCTGATATCATATGAGGTGGCTTTTACATCGACATTCAAGGTAGCAGCACCTGCGATTTCAGTTCCTCTTGAGGCTCCCATTGTTGGGACCGGAAATCCCAACACCTGTTGCATGCAGCACCACCAGCGCCGTGTGACTGAGCAGCGTTTTCTTTCCGTGAACAGCCCAGCCTCAACCCGATGAAGAGACTCCAGTGCAGCAGATGCCATGCCATGCCAGTATGTGTTGACGTGAATGACGTGATTCTGATATGAGCCAAGAGATTTTCTGTGGACATTTGCGTGTGGGTCAGTCAGACCCGATGGGATTTGGAGGGGCATGCTCGAGGGGTTTTGTTGAATTCTGAAAAACGGCTCCAGGGATGATTGTGTTTGGATGTGTTCGGAGGTGTTGAAGGTGGAAGTTGAGGGGTGGCGGTGGGAGTGGAGGGGGATGGGTTTCTGAATCAGAGATGGAACACAGGTGGCAATCGTTGGAGTGGGCGGATTGGCTGTGACAATACGCTGTGATGAGATGGGATGGGAGATGCATATGGATGGGATGTGACTGGATGGGATAGGATAGAGCGGTGGGATGGTATGGGATTGAAGAAGGTTATGACTTGATGATTGACATGAAAAGTCTCATTCGAGTGGAAAGTGTGGGCTCTCAACCTGCTACTCCAGGCTGTGTTGGTTTGGGATTAGGAGGGAATCAGGTCGGGACTCGAGACAGGACCTGGGTTCGCAGAGGTGGTGTTTTAGGTAACGCTACTACCGCAGCAGTAGGTAGTTTCAGTGTGGGGGTGTTGAAGTCTCTTGAAAACTACTTGAGCTGTGCATCTGCCTGGTTGGCTGCATGCAATGTGATAAACTCACCTCGCCTACCTGTCAAATATTATAGCCTGTAGTGGGTTGGGCTATATGGGGTACAACTAGTTATGGTTAGGTGATGTACCCCAATCCTGTCAACACAACGTATTCCGCTGTAGTTCTCATTCTGACATGGTATCAGCAGTAGGTTAGCGCTCCTAGTCCTAGGCCCGCCCTTCCCTACCACTAGGGTTACCACTGCACCCTGCCAGCCCGCCAGCGCCCCTCCCCTCCCCGCCCTTAGCCGGCGCGCCCGCCAGCCAGCCAGCGCGCCAGCCAGCCAGCGCGCCAGCAGCCTGCGCGCCAGCCAGCCAGCCAGCGCGCCAGCCAGCCAGCGCGCCAGCAGCCTGCGCGCCAGCCAGCCAACGCGCCAGCCCGCCAGCGCGCCAGCCAGCCAGCGCGCCAGCGCGCCAGCCAGCCAGCGCGCCAGCCAGCCTGCGCGCCAGCCCGCTTGCAGCCAAGCCCGCCAGCGCGCCCGCCAGCGGGCGCACCAGCGAGCCCGCCGGCTCGCCTGCCAGCGCGCCCGCCAGCGAGCTCGCCAGCGCGCCCGCCAGCACGCACGCCAGCGCGCCCGCTAGCGCGCCCGCCAGCGCGCCACGCCAGCGGGCCCCGCCAGCGCGCATGCCAGCGCGCCGCGCCCGCCAGCGCGCGCCCTGCTTAGCTGCCCGCCAGCGCGCCGCGCCCGCGCGCCACGCCAGCCAGCGCGCCGCGCCGGAGCGCGCCCCGCCAGCGCGCGCCCCGCCGCCCCGCGCCCAGCCAGTGCGCACCCCGCCTGCGCGCACCCGCCTCGCACTCACCTCCCTCTCCTCCTCCTCTCGCGGCTGGCGGCCGCTATCACTTGTCCTCGCCCCTCATGGCGACGTCTCGCGTGCTCCGTTTCGACCCTGAGGGGCGTGCGATCGACTTTAGTACCTGGCTGACGCAGGCCCAGCGCCACCTTAGGAGCCAGCACCAGGATGGCGTGCACCTGTTTGCGCATGCGTCCGGTGCTCTGCCCGCCCCGCCGCAGCCTTCACCGCTGCCCACTACCCCACCGCCTACTTCCGAGCAGGAGGCTGAGTACCAGCGCCGGTTCCTCGCTCGTGACGTGTGGGAGTCTCGTGACGCTGATGCCTGCCTCGCCCTGACCGACCTTCTCCCGCCGACTGAGGCTGTCCACTTCACTCAGGTCGAGTCTGCTGAGGAACAGCTTGCCCTTGCACCCCCTCCCCATGTGGCTCACTATTCACTGGTTAGTCACTCGCCTCCCTGACCGTCTAGCCACAGCCCGCGACGCGCTTCTCCTGAAGCACCCCACTGAGCTTACTATCGATCTTCTTGAGACCGCTCTCTCGAAGATCGAGAGTAACCTCCTCGCTGTTGCCTCCGCCTCTTCCGCGCCTCCTCCTCGTCTCTTTGAGGGGTGTGCGGTACCACAGCTTCCCACCTTCACTGCCTCGCTTGCCATTGCCGCGTCTTCTGCCTCTGAGGAGACGGCGGCCGTTTCTGTCTCTGGCGGACAGAAACGTGGCAAGTCCGGCAAGAAGGGAGGGAAGGGCGGCGGGGGTTCTGGGGGTGTTGCGGGTGGCGGCGGTGGCGGTAGTACTAGTGGCGGGGGTGGCGGCGGGGGTGACTCGGGACCTGACGGCTCTCCTCTAGACGGTGGTGAGGGGTTTTCGCAGCAGCAGCAGCAGACTCCTCCGCAGCTGCCACCGCCTGGACAGCAGCAGCGGCAGGGACAACAGCAGCAGCGCCAGGGCCAACAGCAGCGTCCGCCTCAGCAGCAGCCCCAGCAGTGGGGCACTCTGCAGCAGTGGGGCACTTAGCAGCAGTGGGGCCCTTCGCAGCAGTGGGCCCCCCCGCAGCAGTGGAGACCTACGGGCCCCCCGAGCACTGGGCGCAGTGGTGCCCCTTCTAGTCAGGGACCCCGCTCGGCCGGCCGCGACGTTGGTCCCTGTGAGTACTGGATCCTGACGGGTCCGCGCAGGGGCACGTACTGCGGCCGCCCTGACCACTCTGCTGCACGCTGCTTCAGCCGTCTTGACGACCTGTACGTCCTGCACCACGGTCCCTCCGCTCCCCCGCCACCGCGCTGGGGACCACTCCTTGCTCGTGGTGTTGCTGTGTTTGATATGTCTATGGATGATGCTAGGTCTTATGCCATGTATGCTGATGTTGACTATAGTGCTGTCGGATCTGTTTACTTGCCTGTACCTAGCGTAGGATCTTTGCCTGTTGCTAGAGTAGGTGCTGGTGTAGGATCCTGTCTAGCTACTAGTACAGGTGCTCCCTCGGCGGACGCGTCGCTCTCCTTCACACTGGACTTCGGAGCGACGCAGTGCTTCTTCCGCGACAGCACGACTCTTACTCCACTCTCGGCGCCGGTTTCTGTAGCACTGGCCGATCCCTCTTCGGGACCGGTCATTGCGACTCACGCCACTACCCTCCCGTGCCCAGCTGCCCCTTCCGGTTCTCTGACCGGCCTCCACGTTCCTACTTTCTCTAGGAACCTGGTTGGTGTGGCTCCTCTGGCGAGACAGCACGTCGGGGGCTGGTTTGAGCCTTCGGGTGACATTGCAGTCTGTGTGGACGGTGACACGTACGCCCCTCTGGCCACTTTTCGTCAGGAGCCGGGCTCTGGTCTGTACACCCTCCACACCGACACCCGTCCGGTTCCCCCGTCCCACCAGGTAGCCAGGTCCAGTCAGGTAGCTGTGCCAGGTCTAGTGGCTGCGTCGTGCTCGTGTCGGTCGCTGTCCCACCCTGCCCTCCTCTGGCACCACCGCCTTGGTCACCCGTCCCTCCCTCGTCTCCGCGCTATGTCCAGTCAGCGTCTTGTCTTAGGCCTCCCCCGCGACCTCCCGCCGCTCCCGCCGTCCCCCGCTCCTCCGTGCGGTCCTTGTGTCCAGGGTCGGCTGCGCGCCACTCCTCACTCCTCCTCCCTTCGTCCAGCCTCCGAGCCCTTTAAGACACTCCACTTAGACGTCTGGGGCCCTGCTCCCCGGCTTGGACCTGAGCGAGAGAGCTTCTTCCTAGTGGTCGTTGACGACTACTCTCGGTACACCACCGTGTTCCCTTTGGCGAAGAAGCCCGACGTGACTTCTACGCTGATCCGGTGGCTGCTCGCCACCGAGAGTACTCGTCGTCGTCGTGTCAGTTGTCTCCACTCCGACCGTGGGGGTGAGTTTCGCTCCGGCATTCTCGCCAGATTCTGTGCTGAGCAGGGCATCACCCAGTCCTGGACTCTTCCAGACTCTCCACAGCAGAATGGGGTTGCTGAGCGCCGGCTAGGCCTGGTCATGGAGATTGCCCGCACCTCCATGATCCACGCCCGCGCGCCCCATTTTCTGTGGCCCTACGCGGCTCGGTACGCCGCTCACCAGCTGAACCTCTGGCCTCGCGTCTCTCGGCCAGGGGCTTCACCGACCAGTCTTTGGACAGGGTCCCCTGGTGTTGCGTCGAGGTTTAGTGTCTGGGGCTGCTTGGCACTTGTCCGCGACACCTCTGCGGACAAGCTCTCACCTCGCGGCGTCCCCTGTGTCTTCCTTGGTTTCCCTGAGGCCTCCTCTGACTTCACCTTTTACCACCCTCCCTCCCACCGGTTCTTTGACTCTCGTGACGTCAGTTTCGACGAGTCCGTCCCCTACTTCGTCCGGTACCCCTGTCGAGGTCTCCCGGTTCCCCCCCCTCCCCTCTTCCTCGCCCCAGCTCCTCCTCCTCCCGCTCCCTCTCCTCCGGTACCCCCCCCGGTTCCCGCTCCGTCAGGTGTGTCGCAGGCTACCCCCCCTCCCTTGGTCCCCCCCCAGGTCTCTCCTCCTTCCCCACAGTCGTCCTCACAGCCTCCGCAACAGCCGTCGGCGCTTCCTCTCTCGGCCACTGCGGACTCTGAGGGTGTTGGTGCTCGAGGTGAGGGCTCTGGCGGTGCTGGTTCTGGGGGTGTTGGAGTTGGAGCTGAGCGTGCACCTGCCGCAGCTGCACGTCCCGAGCGTGTTGGAGTCGGTGGTGGTGCTGAAGCTGGTGGTGTTTCTGGAGCTGGAGAGTCTGGGGCTGGTGCTGGTGCCACTGGCGGCGCCACGACTCGGGGTGCG